ACTTTTACTCTGTGATATGTGTCAATCATTCTGATGATAGAAAATAATATCATCAGCAGCAGTACTTTAAAAGTGAAAATTATAATGTATTTGTAGACACTGTATAATGTTTCTGCTGAAGCTTTCAGTCATGTTGATTTAAAGATGAATCACACAGAGGTATTATGGCTTCCCCACACCACATAGCTTTCTAGACTCCAGAGTTGAGACTAAAATCTGGAGGAAGCTCTGTCTCCTGGGCCAATGCATTTTATAATTCATGCTGCCCCTAATCAACCTGGCTGAACCTGGTCTCTACTGGCCACTGAATTTAGCCAATAGAAAAAAAAAATCTGATGTGTATTAAAAGCAAGCATACTCCAAATGTGACTAGCCAGGACTTCCTACAGCAGCAGCAACAACAGCAACAATAAAATCAAATTGCCTTATGATCCTGTAATCCCATTCCATGATACATATCCAAAGGGAACAAAATAATTGTCTCAAAAAAATACCTATACTCCCATGTTCATAGCAGCATTATTCACAATAGCCAATGTATGAAAACAACCTAAGTGTCCATCAATGAATAAATGACTGAATTAAAATAAAATGTGATATATATATATATATATATATATATATATATATATATGACAGAATATTATTCAGCCTTAAAGAAGAAGGAAATTCTGTCCGTTTTCAACAACATGGATGAAACTGAGGGTATTATGCTAGGTTAAATAAGCCAGACAGAGGAAAAAATAAAATATAAAATGGGCAAAGGGTATAAACTGTCAGTTATAAGATGGATAATGTCTGAGGAGATAATTTTTTGCATAGTGACTATAGTTGATAACACTGCATTGTATAATTGAAATTTGCTAAGAAAATAGAACTTAAATATTCACACACACACACACACACACGCACACACAAAGATTAAAAACACAAAAGAATGAAAGTCCGACTGATAGCTAAATTCTTACAGGCATTATGGAAACTAGAGACACTTTATAGTCAACTTCATGCCAATGCATTACTTTAAATAAAATCAACATACTTTTAGAAACACAAACTTCTATCAGAACCTACACAAAAAGTAGTGTAAAATCTAAAAACAACACTTATAAGATTTACAGAAATTTAATACATTAAAAATCTTTATTCAAAGAAAACTACAGAATTTTACCAAGCTAA